CCCTCACCTGCGCAGAAGGCCGCCCCAGCGGCTTCCCTCATTCCGTGGGAAGTGTGGGGCATGTCGTGTCTTACTGTTATTTCTCAAGCAGTCCTGGTGGCAGGATGTTTGCTTGGGCCTGAGTTTTTGTTGTGGGGGCCAGCAGGATCCCCCCCGCTCGGGATGGGATGAGGGGTGGCTAGTGGGTGTGGGGACAGGATAGGGCCCCAGTCCTGGGCATTTTGGCTTCCTGACCTGCAGACAGATGGAAACAGTTTTCGGTCATGTGGGACAGGGCTGAGCTGCTGCCCCGGAAGACAAGGCCCCATGTCTGTCTCCAGGAAGCGGCCCCAAAGCCACATGTTCAGGGCCAGATGCAGTGCCTGTCTTTGTTTATTTAAAGATGCTGGCACCCAGGGAGAGTATTTCTGCAGAGGGGCAGAGCCAGACACCTCCTGGGTCCTCTGCCTTCCCTGGCCTGAGGTGGGGGTGGGCAGCGTGGACCCCGTGGTCTCAAGTACCTGCCTTTTGTTGTCTGAGAAGCAGTGTGGACCCTTGGGGATCCCTGGTTTTTATGTGCTTTATGTTTGCTGGTGCCCCCAATTCCGTGAAGTAGGAATTCCTGTGCTTTGTCGAGGCCAAGGAATTGGAGAAGTTAGTGACTGATGTGTGAGGATAGGCTGCCTGCACCCCAGTTTCTGGAATTTGTAAACCAGTCATCCTTGTCGTGGGGGGAAATGGTGCTGGCCCTCTGGTGGAAGCTGGCTGGAGCCCTGGGGGCTGGGGGGCAGCCAGGAAGGGGAAATGTAGTTCATCTGAAACCTTCGTGGTGACCTTCCAGTGGGGGTCCATGTCCAGGGTTTCCTCTGCAGGGTCTGGAGGGCATGTTTGAGGAGGCTACTTGCCCACCCTGGTGCACCCCCTGCCTCCCAGGCCACATCTGGGAGCCTGGGGCCCAGGGAGCCAGCCAGTCCCCCTGTCCGGGGGATGAAAAGGGGTCCGCAGGACCAGGGGCTGCATCAGGACGCACTGTGCAGCCCCTTCCCATGAGACCAGGACACCAGCAGAGACCAGTGCTCCTCCCCGAGGGGCAGGAGGGGGCTGAAGCCCTTAGTGGTCAGAATGGTGGGAAGAGGCTGGGCCCCTGGGGCAGGGTGACGGTGCCGAGGAGAGGTGGCCAGGGTGAGTGTGCTGTGTCTGGGGCATGCTGGGACCTGGTTGATTTGCTGACCAGACCTGGTGGCGAACCCGCACAGGGCAAGCACACCTCAGGTCCCTGCTGGGTGCCTTCCGGATGCCCCCTGCCTAGGCCTCTGACCTGGGCGTGTGGACTCCTGTGGGCAGCCAGGGGAAGAAAGAAGGGGGGTTCCAACCCGCAAGCCTCAGCTCAGCCCATTGGTGCATCTGCAGACACGGAAGCCAAACCACACCCTGGGCAGAGAGAAGACGGCCACCTGGGCCCAGTGTGGGTGGGAGGCAGGGAGGGTCCCCGGAGCTGCGCACAGGCCTGGGAACAGCTGGGCCCCGAGGAGCCCTGAGCACTGCTGCTGCCCCAGGGCTGCTGGTGGGTCCCGGCACTGAACCCACCAGGCCCAGGAGTGGCAGGTGTCTCCATTCTTCACGAGCGTGTCCTCTCCATCCTGGCTCCCGGGCTCGGCCCAGACATTCGGCTGGTGGGTCCCAAGGGCCACAAGGCCTTCAGGCTGCAGCAGGTGTTGGGGCCCGTTTTGAGTCAGGCGAAGGAGATGGGGCGGACCCAGCTGGGTGCCCTGGGGCAAGGTGGAGGCTGGCGCTTCTCTGGGAAGAGGGGCGGTCAAGTGTGAGCCCTGCCCTGGAACCAAGGGAGGGACACTGGCCAGGGGAGGCTGGTGGAGCAGGAGATTAAAAAGCAGAAAAGATTTGAGTCTGGGGTGGGGGTGGGGTCCAGCTGCGGGGCAGCAGGACAGCGCCTTACACGTGACTCCTTGGCTGGGACTTCAGCTCTGGGACGTTCCACAAGGTCCTCTTAGGCAACCAAGTCTCTATTTCCCCATCTGAGAAATGGGGTGGTAGTCCCCCAAGGAGGTAGGTGCTGGGAAGATGCCTGCCCATGACCTCTCTCACCCCTAATGCCCTGCTCTTTCCGCAGCCACTGAGGCAGCTCCTGGCTGCGCTGGTGACATGGCCGACACCCCCAGAGATGTCGGGCTCAAGCAGGCGCCCATGCCTCGGAACGAGAAGGCCCCTGTGGACTTCGGCTACGTGGGGATCGACTCCATCCTGGAGCAGATGCGCAGGAAGGCCATGAAGCAGGGCTTCGAGTTCAACATCATGGTGGTCGGTGAGTCCCCACCCCCCGCTGCCACCCAGAGCCCCTGCAGGGAACCTGCCCTGTGCGCCAGCCCCTCAAGCTCTGGGGCTCAGTCTCCGCTTCTGTAAAATGGGGGTGACAGCCTGCTCTGCAGGATGGATTGCTAGCGGCATTGTGTGTGCATACTTGTGCCTGCCAGGAGGGCCCCAGCTTCTAGCACCCCTGTGGCAGGAGCCCCTGAGATGACTCAGGCAAGCCGGGTGCTGGCTGGACATGTGCTCAGTACGTGGCCGTCACTGACCAGGGGCCTCCACCTTCTGCTCTTAGCTTCTGTGGAAGCGCCCCCCTCACTGTGGCTTGAGCCCTGGACCTCTAGCCCTGGGTGGAGCTGAGCTCATGCCCAGCAGGCCTAGTGGAGGCTTCCTGGTAGCCCCACGGGAGCTGGGTGATCACCAGGGGGAGGTCATTGATCAGCCTACCATTCAGTCCTCACAATAACCCTGTGAAAGGTCGCCCCACTTTACAGGTGGAAAGGAGGCCCTGAAGGGGTGTGACAAGGCCCCTGGGCTCCCAAGGGCAGAGGGAACCCGAGCCTGTGCCCTCCCTGCCTCCTACACAGTGGCCCCAGTGCAGACACGCGGCTGAGCAGAATCCCAGCTCTGCCCCCACTGAGCCTCAGGGTTCTACTAGCCACAGTTTCCTCATCCACGAATGGGGTAATCCTGACCCCACAGGGCCAGGAGGGGCAAGTGGGACGTGTTCAGCCCCTGGCGTGGTCACAGGCATTAGTGATAATGGTGGCGATGTGATGATAATACAAATTAAAATAGTGATAATGGGATGAACTTTAATAATACCCATTGGCATCTCCCAGAGGTAAGGAGAGGTTGTGGGAACATTTGACAGCTCTTGGCCTGAGCTTGGGCAGGACACAGGCGTGGCACCGGGGTGATGCATAGGGGGCCAGTCCCTGGGCCGCTAAGCAGCTGGAGCCGGGGATTCCTGTCGCCGGCCCCTGACCCCAGGGGCCCATGCTTTTCCCTGAAAGGTTATCCAAGTTGGGACATCAGTATAGTTTAATTTTTGAAAGTAATGTCGGTTAGCATAGCTTAAGGCCGCTCAGTGCAGGGGTGGGGTGACCGGGCCCGAGCCCGGAGTCGTGTGTGTGGGAGTGATGAGCACACGAGCAGGTGCGCCTGCCTAGTGCTTAGGTGAGCCTGGTGCACAGAGGCACCTCATACGCATCGTTCCCACTGCTAACCCCGAGGCAGAGGTCATGGAGCTGGGCTGCTGGGCTCCAGCCCCACTCTGGGCTCCATGCCTCAGTTTCCTCACCTGTCAAATGGGATAATGGCAGCCCCTAGTTTGGGGGGTTAAGTGTTACCCACGGGATGGTGTCTTAAGTAGGGGCTGAACCTACTTGAATTCCAGGGGGCTCCCTGGCCATGCAGCCCCTCAGCTGTAGGGTCTGTTGAAGTGGGCACAGCCATCCACCTGCTGGGGGCTCTAGTCAGGCCTCCTGCCCCAGGAGGAAGTGACGTGCCCAGTGGACTTTCATCAGCCCAGTGGTCATTGGCTGCAGTCTGTGGATCTGCGCATGCCAGCACTTCAGCCTAGGGGATCCCCTCTTTAAAGGTCCCCAGACCCCACTGCGGTGTGGGGGGTTTCCCTCCACACATCACCAAGCAGTTCTCAGATGCCAGCAGGGTGTTGAGAATTCAGCTCAATTCTGACACTATCTATGGGGCGACAGAGTCAGATTCCACAGGTGGAGGGCTCCGTCCACCCCTCCAGATGACGGTCCGAGGCCGCAGGCTGCCATCTGTGCTCTGACAACTGGATGCAAGCACCTCCTCCTTGGGTTTGATTATTTTGCTAGAGTGGCTCATGGAACTCCAGGAAACACTTGCTCAGGCTTTACCAGTCATGAAGGGACGTGATAAAGGGTATGAGTCAGCAGCCAGATAAAGAGGCGCACGGGGTGACGGCCAATGAAGGAGCTCCGGCCATAGAGCCGGGACGTCCTGGCGGCACGTGGGAGCATTCTGGTTCCCCTAGCATGAAATGCTCCAGAAAGAACTAGAAAGCTGTTCTCCTGGGTTTTTATGGCGCCTTTGATTGCCGACTTTGCCTAAGTCATGGTCGTTGGCTGATTCAGCCTCCAGTCCCCTCAGAGGTGGGGCCAGAGGACTGGGAGTCCAGACCTCTGATCACATGATTGTTACTGCTGGCGACACCCCCCGCCCCTGAGTGGGCCCAGAAGTCACCTTCATTAATACCAGACTCCCTTTCATCTTTCTGGCTCAAGCATTTTTAAGAGCCGTGGATGAAGATCAAATATATCTGAGAAATATATTTTGGTCATCTGAACGAATCATACTGCACCCCAAGAGACTGGGAGCCTGGCCCCCAGGCCTTTGGACTGGAGCCCTGCAAGTCTGGGTGGCCTGCCCTGGTTAGACCAACGCAGTCTGCAGACCTTCCCTTCTGGAGCCCCAGGTTGGGGGGAGCCTCTGTAGAGCGCTTTCTTCAAACCTCATGTGGACCCCAGTGTGTCCAACAGCTGAGACCTGCACTGGAGGGGCCAACCCCCCAGCCTGCCGCCCCCATGCTGTTCTGCATCTGGGCTCCTCCCAGGGCCCTGCACGGGGTGGTCGGAAGGTGTGGGGCCTGGGGCCTGCTCTGCCATTATGCTTCCCCAGAGCTGGGCCACTGCCTGGCATCCTGACCTCCCTCTGACCCGGAGCCCCGCCTACTGAGTGCCCGGGGTCGCAGGGCCCATGAACCGCCCTCTCTGGTCAGCCCTACCAACCAGCCCCTGTGCTGTCCCCAGGGCAGAGCGGCTTGGGGAAGTCCACCTTGATCAACACCCTCTTCAAATCCAAAATCAGCCGAAAGTCGGTGCAGCCCACCTCAGAGGAGCGCATCCCCAAGACGATTGAGATCAAGTCCATCACGCATGGTGAGCATGGGGGCGGGCCAGGGTGTGGACGCTGCCTGAAGCTGGCTGTGGGGGTGCTGAGTCGGATACCACAGGTCCCTGACTTGAGGACTCATGACACCTCTGGGTACATTGAAACTCTGGGTCAACGATGGGGGGCCAGGGATGCTCCCAGGACCCCTGCAGGCCGTGGGACTGAATGCCCCATAGATAACTGAGTTTTCCATCAAACACCCAGGGTAGGATTTTTGGAGTAATCGTCACCAGCCCCTGCTGGACTTCCCTGCCAGAGGCTGTCATCTCCCATGTGTCACCTGGGGGGCCTCACAGGGGAGAGGTTGGTCAGGCAGCCTGGGTGCACATCCCACCAGGTGGGTCCAACCCTCCCTGGGTGTGTGTCTTGGGCCTCACCTGAGTCAGGCTGCGGTGATTCTGTGCAGATATCGAGGAGAAAGGTGTCCGCATGAAGCTGACGGTCATTGACACGCCAGGGTTCGGTGACCACATCAACAATGAGAACTGGTGAGGCTCTGGGGGCTCCTTCTCCAGATGGAAGGTCACCGGCCGGGCTGCTGGGGCCTGTCTCCTGGCCTCAGCCTCTTGGGAGGCCACAGATAAGGCTCAGCTGAGAAAGCCATACATCCCCAGCACACAGCCTGGGAGATGGGGAGTCAGGCTGGGGCTGGGGGTGGGCTGTGGGCAGCTGCCCGTGAGCCGGGGTGGCAGCGGGGCCGTGCAGGCTGACGGGGCCTCTCGCACAGCTGGCAGCCCATTATGAAGTTCATCAATGACCAATACGAGAAGTATCTACAGGAGGAGGTCAACATCAACCGGAAGAAGCGCATCCCGGACACGCGCGTCCACTGCTGCTTGTACTTCATTCCTGCCACCGGCCACTCGTATGTGCCTGCGCGGCATGTCCCAGGCTGGGCTGCTGAGGGCTTGGAGCCATCCTTGTCTCTGCCCCTGCTGCCGGCTCGGTGGCACTTGTACCTGGGGAATGTCCTTTGCCTTGTCCTGGTCCCCTGCTCATGGCTTGGCTGGCACTCAGCCCCTAGCCTTGGCCTCGCCAGCATGGACACCACCAGGGACCCCCCAACTCCCAGGGGCCCTCCCTCATTCCCATCTTGCCCCATCCCCCTGCCACACTCTTATCCTGGCCATTCTGTTCTAGCCTCAGGCCCCTGGACATCGAGTTCATGAAACGCCTGAGCAAAGTGGTTAACATCGTTCCGGTCATTGCCAAGGCTGACACGCTGACCCTGGAGGAGAGGGTCTACTTCAAGCAGCGGGTATGGCTCTCACCTCTGCTCTTCCCCTGCCTGCTCAGTCCCCGACCCCGGAGGGAGTGAGGCCAGTGAGGGGCTGTTGGACACGATGTGTCAGGTTTTTATTAGATGGAAGAGAACGTTTGAAAGGGGCAGTCTCTGCCAAGGGACAGGTGGCCATGCCTTCCTTTTCTGCCGCAGCCCCACCTTGAGCTGCTGTCCCAGGAGAGCGAGCCTCAGGGTGCTTCCTCCTACCAGAGCTGCATGGTAGAGCCACCTGGGGAACCTGAAACACCGAGGTGCCCAGGCCCCAGCAGGCATGAGCAAGGAGGCCCTTCATTTTAAACCCAAAGCCCTCCATGTACCACCTGGGCCTCCACCCGTGGGCCCAGATGCTGGGGATTTTCCCAGCATGCTTAGGGGAGGGCAGTCCCCTTGCACTGGCTGTCTCCCAGAGGCAAGGGGAACAAGATGGCCCCTGGAGCTGCATGTGGATATGGGTCTGTGCTCAGGGCAGAGATGATAGCTGTTTATAGGGACATGACTGATTGACTGTCACCTGGGTTGGGTAGCTGTCACTGCAAAAGATGGTGACAGTTTTGGTGTAAGTGGGTGCACGCTAGCAGCAGGGGGCACCTGTGCAGGCATACTGGGCTTGCAACGGATCATATCCTCGACCAGAGGAAGATTCTAGGCAGAGCTCGGGAAGGGGGAGGACTCAGCCACCCAGAGTCATTTTCTTGGGAGTATGATGAGCTGGGAGATCGAGGAGACACTTGGGACCATAGCCCTTGACTCTCCGGCACCTGCAGGTCTCTACTGGCAGTGGGGCCACAGCCACCCCTCTACACAGTGGCACGAGAGCTGGAGGGTATCAGGTCACAGTTCCCCCAGAGTGGACCTTGGTCTCAAGGCCACTGTGGGTGGGGACTGGCAGGCGGGTCCGGCTTGCTCGGTGGGACATGCGGGCATCTCTTCCTCTGGGTCCCCAGATCACTGCGGACCTGCTGTCCAATGGCATCGATGTGTACCCCCAGAAGGAGTTTGACGAGGACTTGGAGGACAGGCTGGTGAACGAGAAATTCCGGGTGAGTGTGCTGGCCAGGATTTGGTTCCCAGGAGCCCCTCAGTTCCTGCTAGAGGACATGGGTAGGTCTTCCTGCCCCATCCGGAGGGCCTCAGTGTTCCTCAGCCATGAGAATGTATTCTCTGGGGTGGGAGGGGTCAGAGCCCCAGTGCCCACACGTGGCCTCTCCAGCTAAAGGTCTCAGTTCTGGGGGGTCCTGGGCTCAGGGCAGCTCTTCCCAGGGGCCTGGGGAGCTGACTAGCCTTTCCACACATGTGACCAACATCACTTCCCCACTGCCCCCAGGAGATGATCCCTTTCGCCGTGGTGGGCAGCGATCACGAGTACCAAGTGAATGGGAAGAGGATCCTTGGGAGGAAAACCAAATGGGGCACCATTGAAGGTAACCACCGAGCATGCTGGGGGCCTCCACCCCGATCTCCCCTGAGCAGGGAAATACCCTGGGAGGGAGGGCCCTGCCAAGCTCTAGGTTCCCATGTCCCACAGGCATGCATGCAGCTCATTTCTCTGGGTCTAGGAAAGGGCTGGGCTGTAGCTGTCCAGCCGAGAACCAGACTCCCCCCACGCCCCACATCTTACTGTCCTGGGGCTGCCCTAACAAACCAGCACAGGCTGGGGGCTTAAAACAGAAATTGATGCTCTCACGGCTCTGGAGGCCAGGAGTCCAAAATGAAAGTGCCAGCAGGGCTGTTTCCTTCCAGAGCCCTGCATGGGGCACCTATCCCGGGCTCTCCTGGGGGCTGCCAGCAGTTCCTGGTGTCCCAGCTTGCAGACACATCACTCCAGTCTCTGCTCTGCCTTTAGCCTTCTGTGTGTCCGTCATCCCCTTTTATAAGGATATTTGTCATTGGCTTTGGGCCACCCTGAGTCCAGAGTGATCCCCTCTGGGGTTCCATTACCTTAGAACAGAGGAGAGAAACGGGGCACTTTGTTCCTTGTTCACTTGGCAGAAGGGCCCAGTGCAGAGAAGGAAGCAGGACGTATTCGACACCAGCTGCAGCCCTCAGCGCCCACCCCCCTGTGGAACTGGGCAAGTCCCTCAATGCCTCAGAGCTTCCATTTTCACCATCCATGAAGTGGGTACTAGGTGCCAAGATTTGAGTAAAGGGAGAGAAGCTATCAAAGATGGTGGAGCCTTGGGGGCAGCCAATGCTCCAGGGAACTGGTGGTGATGGGGGCTGCCTGGCTCCGAGCATGGCATGTATCATGGAGCCCTCAGAGCTGCCTGTAGCTGTAGCTGGACTCCCCTTGCAGAGAGGCCCAGCTCTGGATCCGTGGGTCCACTCCGACACTTGGACTCAGGCCTGGTGGAGGGGTAGAGAGACTCTTTGACCTTGCTGGGGTGCCCCACCGGAGCTGGTGGGCTGTGTGCCGGGCAGGTATTTTCTAAACCGGCCTCTGTCTGGGTGTTGTCCAGTGTCTGGTACAGGCTGGGTCCCCCTGGCTAGTGGTGTTGACCCGAGGTGTCCCTTTGGGGTTTACCCACCTCCCTGTCCACCTAGGCTGTCTCAGCCAGGCCTTACCTGGGATCACCCACCGTGGCCCTCTTCTGAAAGCCTGCTGTAAACTGTTTATGGAAGGCATGATTTGTGGGGTGGAGAAGTTAGGGATAAGACAGGGCTAGTGGAGACGTGGGAGGGGCCCCCTTGTGCTTGACATGCCGCTGCTGCCCCCTGGTGGCTGCGGCCCGTGGGCCCCTGATGCTGGGATGAGCAATCTCGTTTTTTGGAGAAACAGCCCCGTGGAATTTGTAAGGACGGTTGTCTTCAGGAGGACCCTGGAGGAACTTCCCACCTGATAGTATGAATAGTCGAACTAACGCTGGCAACCTGGTGAACTGACAGCTGACCCCAGAGCGGCCGCCCGGTGTTTCCACCCTGGCAAGCGCCACAGTGACCCAACGCCTAGGCCTGATTCTTTGTTCTCTCCTCCCACTTGGTTTTACCCATCCTTGGAAATCTGAAGTGTTTTTGAGAGGAAGGTGGGGTGTAAAAGCACACAGTTACCCATTTGCTCCTCCCATGTCCCTGAGGTGGGTGGCATTATTGTCCTGTTTCACAGGTGAGGGAACAGAGGGTCAGAGAGGCTGGAGTGATGGCTCAAGCTGGGGAGCCGGCCTCTCGCCTGCTGTGCCGGTGCTTCCCACCAGCTCTCACGGCTTCTCCAAGTTAGATGAAGCGCTGTGTGCGGGTCAGCTGGCAGAAGCTTCTAGTTGAGCACTGCCGTGTGGGTTGGGGAACAGGGCAAGGGCCGAGCCATCCCTAGTCAATGTAGAGTCCTCCCTAGGCATCGTAGGGTTCCTTAGCTTGAGGTCAGTGGTAAGCCCTGCGCATGGTCTCAGTACACGTGTCCTGTGCCCCAGCGGGGTTTGCCTTAAAATCCAGCTCTGCTTCCTGCTTTTTTCCATTCCCAGCCCTGCGTCTTCAGTCTCCCCAGCAGAACTTCCTGGGCCCCCCAGTGGCACAGTGGCCCACCAGCCCGCGCTCCTCACTGCACACTCTGCCCTGCTGCTGTCTTGGCCAGGTGCCTGTGAGGTGCCCACTGCTCCCCTAGGGAGTGGTGACTCCCAGCTTCCCCTCCTGCCCAGGGCTCCTCTTAGCGCCAGGACTACTGGAGGAGGGGGGAGGCAGGCCAGGGAGGGGCTCTGAGTGACATTAAAGCCCTCTGTCTCCTCAGTCGAGAATACCACACACTGTGAGTTCGCCTACCTGCGGGACCTGCTCATCAGGTGAGATGCCATTGTGGGGCTGATGGCCTTGGCCCAAGAGGGCCTGGGTGGTGGGTGAGTAGGCGGGGGTCCCAGACGACAGCTGACCTGGCCTGCCCATTGCCTGCAAGCAAGAAGTGAAAACCCTTAACATGGGTCACCTGCATGGGAAGGACCATGTTCTGATCACTGTGGCCCGAGACTGTTAGGTTCAGAGCCCCAGGGGGTCTCCCGTGTAAGGCATGGGGGCAGTGTCCCCAGCTTCCATCCCCGTGTCCTCTGACCCCACCCCTTTGACCTGGCTGAAGCATCTCCTTGGTTTTCCTGAGTCCAGGCAATGAGTGGGCCATTCTCAACCCATTAGAGAGGGTGCCGGGAAGGTGGGGCTAGGTCTGGGCAGGTGGAGAGGGTGGGGGAGCACCGGGGCTCCCAGCTTTTCAGCCGGTAGGGAGGTAGATGTCGGGATGAAATCAAGAGGGGGCACAGGGCCATCTCTTGGGCCTTCCGGGTTGGGTGGGGGACGTGGCTTCCAGATGACCCCCGCTGTGTTGGAGAGCTGGACTGCAGGTGCACCGTAGGCCTTTCTGGCCCCACCTGCAAATCTCCTGTCGAGCTGCAGGGGGAGAACCGGAGCCCTGGACTAGCAGGGTCGGGTCGACCGGCACTGCGGCCCTGCCCACCCCTGCAGGCCCGCTGGCCTGTACTCTGGGTCACAGCAAGGCCTCTCCAGCCCTGTCCCTTCTGAGCCTGCACCCAGCTCTTGTCCCTGGACAGGCCTTAAGCTTGGCCCAGAGAAAAGGGGACACACGCTTTAGAACACTGGTTCTGAGAGGGGCTGGGGTTGCCACGGAAACTGACAACTCCCCTCCCCCCATGCCCAGGCCTGGTCAGACTTGGGCCTAGAGAGCCCCAGTGGGGGGACCCCTCACGGGGGAGGTCAAGCAGTGGGTCACGGGGGTGGGAGTCCTGGGCCAGGCCAAGCACTCAGCGCCAGGCCCCATGGCCCGCCTGGACCCCATGTCCCACAGGACGCACATGCAGAACATCAAGGACATCACCAGTAGCATCCACTTCGAGGCCTACCGGGTGAAGCGCCTGAATGAGGGCAACAGCGCCATGTCCAACGGGGTCGAGGAGAAGGAGCCAGAAGAAGCCCAGGAGATGTAGGCTCTGCCCTGCCCCCAGGACCCTGCTCCCGGTCTTTTCCGTCCCCCCCCCAGGCCTGCCCACTTCCCCTTTTTATTTTATATAATTTCCTCCATTTGTCCTTGTGACCTGCCCCTACACGCTGCCCTTAACAAGATAATGTGTACCCTCCGGAGTATGTTCGGCATTAGCCCTCTGATGGGGCCTGGGCTGGGGGTGGCTTGGAGTAGAGGCAGCTCTGGCCATCCTTGAGGGCCCGCCAACCCCCAGCCCCAGGCCTGGCTCCTGGGGCCCAGAAGGCAGTCTTGCTCCCCCTCCACCACAGCCTCTCATGTGTGTTGTGGTTATGCCTGGGAGCCAGCCTGGTGGACCTGAAGCCCTCCCCCACCCCCACCTCCCTACACGGCGTGGGCCATAACTCAAACCGTGAAACTCAGAGCCCCCTGCCCTTGGCCCACCCCTGAGGGGAGGGTAATGAGTCCCATGAATGCAAGTTGCCGATTGCTTAGACACAGCAAAGCCCATTGGCTGCTGCCCACCTGCCCCCCTGCAAGCCCATCCTGGGGCAGAAAGTGCCTTTATCTCAGCTGTCCACGCAAGCCAGCAGACTCTCCCCAGATGTCCCCGTGGATGGGAAATTGGGACAGTCGGAGAGGGGGAGGTGTGTCTCATCTCTCCATTGTGTCCCTGCAACCACTCCCCAGCCTCGTGATTTTGGAAAGTCAAGCAAGTGAATCTGGTGGAGGAGCTGTGGGAGGAGGTGATGGATGGCAGGTGCTGGAAGGAAGGGGGCTTAGGGACCTTGATGCGTTCTGCCCCACACTGCCCTGTGTGGCTGGGTGGGGAGTGTACCTCTTCGTGTGTTCGGACATCCCTTTGGCCCAAGATGCTCTGGTTACATTAATGTTCAGTCGACCACCCAGGTACACATTGAGCCCTCCTGGCCCAGACCTTGCTGACACTGTGACCCTGGGATGTGGGAGACCAGGCTGACTTTTTGTTCCATAATTGTTCCTGGGCTCCTGCAACTCAGAGCCCATTGTAAAGACCCTCAAAGGAAGATACTGGGAATCATGTGATGGCCCTCCGCTGACTGCAGAGTGGGCGTTCATGTCAGCATGGCCTGGCCGGTCTCTCTGCTCCCACACCTCTGTGTTGGGGGCATCAGCAGGGGCCATCCGAGCTGTGCAGTGTAGACCGACTGCAGGTGCTTCCTCCTGCCTCTTGACAAGAGCGAGGGGACTGGTGCCTGGCTCAGGCCAAGATGAAACACAGGTGGGGTGACATCTGTCCACAGGCCCCAGGCTGGCTGCTTGCAGCTGATGAGAAGAGCGGAGGCAGCATGGGGCATGGGTAGACCTGGGGGTGGGGGGGTGCATGCAGGTGCGGGAGTCCTTGCTCTGTTGAACCCCTGCCCACCCAGAGAGGAAGGGCCCTTGAGTGAAACAGTTTACTTGCTGACTTGCCAAGTTTTTGCCAAAACCAAGATCCTGAAGGAAACGTCCATCTCCAGCAGGGTCCAGGATGCGGGCAGACTGGAGGTGGAGTTCTGTCCTGGGAGGGCTTCACTTTCCTCTGTAGCCAAATTTTGAAAGAATTGTTTGTTTCTCTGGGATGTGTTCCACAGTGGCCTTCAGCTATGTGCCTCCTGAGAAATTTCTTTTTGTATAAATAACAGTGTTGAAAAGGTATTTCCTGAAATAAATGTTCCAAATGCAAACCTGGAAGCCTCCAGAGTGGGGATTTCTCTATCCAGACCCAGGCGGGTCTCCTTGGATGAGAGTAAAGACAGCATCAGAGATCGTTTGCTGGGAAGTTGTTTAATCTCCTTGGGGGAGAAACAGGCCCGGGGACTTCGGAAGCCCTCATTTAGGGGGACGATTGAAAAGCAGATGGCATTTTACTCATTGAAGGAGGCTCTGAACAGAGGTGCTGTAAGTGGTTTCTATTAGCTTATACTTGGAAGTAAGTTTTTCTTCTTAGAACCGTTCTATTAGATTGAACGTTACGAACTGGTATTTGACAATAACTTCAACACCAGTTTAGCTTATTCCAAGAGAACTTGGCCCAGGTGGACTAGAATTGAGGCTGTCGGGGGTCCCAGTCTGCATGCCCTTCGCTAGCCTTACCAGTCAGGAGCCGGGCAGCCCCCAGAACCCCAAGTTCAAAGTGAGCAGGCTGCAATGGCCCTGGCAGTGCTGGCAGGGACCCTTTATGCCTCTTCTCCATCTCCTTTTTGTCCTCATCTGTCCGTAAGATTCCAGGCCCACCCGAATCCAGGGTGACATCATCTCAAGCCTGACCTTAATTAGGAATTAAGACCCTATTTCCAAATAAGGTCACATTCTGAGGTTATGGTAGGGGGCACTGTTCAATGCATGGGTCCGACCCCCATGTCCAGACCTCAGGGACAAGACAGCAGCCAAGATGGTGAGCAGACAAGCCCTGAACTGGGACTCAAATGATCTCTAGGTTCACGGCTTGCTCTGCCAACAAGCCCTGTGGTCTCAGGATTGTCTCCCCCCTGTGAGCCTCCAGAACCTTCTGTGGGGCAGGTTAGAACATTTTGCCAAAGGCAAATGGATTTGACCCCAGGTGAACCTGTGAGCAGTGGCCACATGGACCACTCCAGGATTCCGAGGTGCAGCTGTGAGGGTCCGCTGTGGACCTGGGAGGAGAGAGGTTGGCCCATGTGCAGGCTGCTAGCCCTAGGGCCACTCTTCTCGAGGCCAGTCGGCTCTGACACCCTTGCTATGGGCTCTGGGCAGATCCTCCGCCTTCAAACCCACCTCTCTCTTCCAGACTAAAATTCCCCATTTTCTGCCTTGCCAGCCATCCCTGCCCAGAACTGCTTTCCCTGGGCCTGACCCTCCTCTCCTGAGCCCACCACCCTCTCCAGGATGTGTCTCAGCTTAGAAAGGTGGCTCTTACACCCCTCAGGGTCCACTCACCATGCCCAGCTGGCCCGGGGCCTTTATGCTACCATCACCTCGCTAGCCACCCTGACGCCAGGACTGGGGAGAGTTCCCCAGCCCACGTGCCTCTCTCCAAGAGCAGCTCATGAATGCCAGGGAGAGGGGCTCCTTGCCCCCACAGACCCCACAACCAAGCAAATCCCCTGCTGTAGAATCAAGTGAACAAGTGTCCCAGTGAGGATAAAATGAAAGTTCTCACCTGGCCCAGAGTGGCTAGCTCACTACATACGTGTGGGAAATACGATGCTGTTGACTCTATATAAAAAGCTCTTCCCAGGGCTCTAGGTGACATGGTGGCACAGCTGCAAGGCTGCACGAGAGCACAGGCTGGATGGGTGGCAGCGCCGAGGACAGGCCCAGAGGACAGCTGTGTGGGCAGACACCAGCTTGCTGCAGGCAGACGCGCTCTGAGTGGACAGGATTTTAGTGACTGACCTGCCACTGTGGAAATAAAGTTGGGTATAACCCTTTAACCCCAAGAAGGTTCTACTGTCATTTTTTGATCACACTGAATCTATTCTCAACTTTCCTGGGACTGAAAATCAATGGCAAGATACCCAGTTTCCCTAGAAATATGAGGCTTCCAGGGACCTAAGACTTCAGTTTTAAACCCAGGAAGTCCTGAGTGAACTGGGTGTGTTAGTTACCCTAGTAGACCCTGAAGCATGCTGCGACTTGTCCTGCCCGTTGGAGTCCGGACCCCAGACTCGGTAGGAAAAGGGGCCCTAGAGGAGCTGAGGTGCAGCACGGAGGCCACCAGGATGACCAGAGATGAGAGGGAGGCCCTGAGGGTCAGCCTTATGAGGACCGACCACATGCACACGGGTAGTCCGAGCCTAGGGACTGCAGAGATACAAAACACTGTGCTTACTCCTTCCCTGCTCTGTGCTGCAGCGTTTAAGCCAGAAACAATCAACAGGCAGTCTTGGGGTCCTGCCAGAGTATCTCATGGATTGTAGACACTGCAAAATACCAGAATAAAACCACATTGGAAATATCTGAAAACAGGATACAGTACTAGAATCCTAAGACTCCCTGTCGTCGCACAGCGCTGACAACAGAACAGAGGCCCAGGGCCCTGTGGCCGCTTCCTAGTTTACGCCTCACGCGGGTTACCGTGATCTGAGGTGATCCCAGGGACATGGAGACAGTGGAACGAGAAGCGGACAGAACAGATATCTGGGGGCCAGAAGGAGGCTCCTCCAAATGGAAGCTGGAAAACAGAAAATGTTGGGAAGCCAAAAAAAACCTACCCGAGATGCGGGCAGGGGTCGGACTTGGCTGTGATCTACTCTATGCCTACTCATGCAGATATTGTCTTGTGGGTGGCGGGGCTACCTAGCTAGTGGTTCTGTCCCCGATCTGCAACCATTTTATCCTGTCCTGGGAGTCTACTACGGGAGGCTTGTCCTAGCGTCATTATAGTGTGGCCGGCCCATGCCCGCTTTGGCCAGGGTGGCTGGCTGCCCAACGCAACAGGAGAGTAAGATTATCCTACCACAACGCTATGTGTGTCGCTGCTCCAAGATATGTTGGGAAGGCAGGAACTCGGCTCCATGTGGCAAAGGACTCGGAGCGACAGGTGAAAGCAAAGGCAAGAAGGAAGGCAAAGTAAGTAGGAATACACTCTGTAAAGAGAGCCTGAGTACACGGGATCTCGGGCCACTTACTCAGCTGTCTGCAGAAAAGATGAAGCCGTGC